AAAGTAGATGTCAAATAGAAAAATCATTCTAGTTCGCGGAATCTACATATTTAGATGCTGGAAAATCTTTCATATTTCAAATTCTTTTAAAAATTTGTTTTGTTTCATTTTGTTTCTGTACTCTTCACACTTCCAATTATATGTGGAATTCTACCAGGTGAAGTGATAAGGAGACATTTTTGAAACTATCGTAGTTAAATCTTTGGCCCATAATTTTTGTACGTAATAGTACATTTCCGCTGCACTGGAAAATCTTATATTTCTGGGAACTACAACAAAAGAAGTCTTTTTCTTAGAAATATTTTATAAGCAAATTTTTTTCTTAAACGATATTAAATTCCTTGTAATCGTTTCTAATGAATTGTCTGCGTTAAATACCATTCATCATTAAAAATATAATTTGGGGTTTAGGATTCCCAGATTGGAAAATCGCTCCTTGTTCGAGTGAATTGAAATGCATCTAATTTATTGAATTGATTGAAAATTGTTTGATAAAATTATTTTGTGATTGATCTGCCCACATAAGCTACTGACTGGCTATTAAAACTTAAAACCGAAAGAAATAAATAGTCTGCTGCATCGCAGGTTTGCAGCAGGCCAGCTTAAAATTAAATAGTATTTTTATGTTACAAACAAAACTTATTTATGTGTATGTATTTATGATAAAATGGTTTATGCTCTATTGAAAATGCAATAAATCCAACAAAAAAATATTTTTCAATAAAAACTGTGCGGTTTCTTTTACACCGGGGCCGGGACTTTTATAATAAAAGTCCTTAGAAAAAAGTTATCTTTGGACATTTATTTTATTTCAAATAAAATAGTCAGTCGACCCGGACTCTTATTTTTTAAGTGCAGCAATAAACGTTAAAATTAGGCAAATATTTTTTTAAGTCCGAAATAAAAGTCCTTTCGTAATAGTAAACAAATCGCTTATCCAAATCAAACAAATTTGGTACCAAATAAAAGAGAGCTGAAATAGCTTTCAAACAGAAATATTTGAACGAAGATTGCCACCCATTTATTTATACATATTTTTTATAATCTATATTTTTAAAACGCGAAGCAATTTTTTGTCCAGGTCATCAGATTTGCACCGTTCGTTCGATTTTCAAAAATGGGGTGTCAATTTAACGGGCTTGGCCTGTAGATGTGCCGTGAAGTTTTAGTTTTTCGAAAATAGTTGCCACCCTTTCAAAAATAAGATTTATTCAAATCATTTCAAAAGTTAAATGAGTTAATGCAAAATGGGTGTCAAACAAAATGGTTTGGAAAATGCTACCTGTTAAAAAAAAAATCAAACTCAATTTAAACTATGGTAAATGTAATATATACCTCCATCTGGCTGGTAAGAGCGTAGTAATTGAAAATATTTTGAAGTGCGTTGCAACCTTTTTAAAAGTCTAAGCGCCGGCTGCTCAAAGCTTGGTTGACTCAATCTCTGGTGAAATATCGTTATCGACAAAATAGTGACTTGCTTACAAAATTTCGAATGAGTGATTATGAAGTCAATGCATTTTGCACGCCTGATACCACTACGCTTCAATGCTCAAAGTGCAAAACCATCTATCGTCGTTCTGCAAAACCTCGTAACTAACATTTTTTACCAAAAATTGGATTTGCTCACACAAACTCTTAGCTAAATCCTTATCCTTATATGAAATATACGCTCCAGAAATGCGATTGCTTTAAGAGAGAACCATTTTGAAATTCGAGTGTTTTTACTCTCTAGAAAATAATTTATGCAACCAAATATAAGCGGTTTTGCATTTCGTTGATACGCAATTTTGTACTTGAAACGACGATAAATATATGTTATATATATGGCGACCTTGGTGACACTGGCGACACTGGCGACACTGGCCACACAGGTGACACTCGCGGAGCCGAGAACTTCCGACACTGGTACACTTGTGACACTGCTGACACTGGAAAAATTGGGAATAGACACTCCCCGGGAAAATGGTGTAGAATTCTTGAAAATCAATATTTTTCAATCGGTAAATTCGGGTTTTCTTCATGAGACTTCCGATAGTAATTGTCAATAGTTTTTTAGCCATTTTTAAAACTAAAAGTTTTTTATTTGTCCCCCACATTGCAAATTCTGTGGTCTTTGGCGGACTTATATAATGTATTTACTATTAAAAATGGTTAAATAAACATTTGGGTATTATTATCGGGAGACTCCCGAAGAGAAACAGACATTTTCAATTGGAAAATATTGATCATTAAGAATTCTATACCATTTCTACGAAAGGTTGTTTTTTTTCATATAAAATACATGGAAAACTTTGAGCGACCCCTAAATATTTTTTGAAAATAAAAAAATATGGGTATGTTTTTTTCTATATAGAACAATCCTAGGGGGTGGGAGCATTGAAGTTCCGACGTTACTTTTTCACATGCACCACCCTAATGTACACACACATGGAACTACATTTTGTTAACACTGCACCGCTGCATCGGACCATTATATCTAATTTGTGGGAGCATACTCATCATTATCGACATTTCCAAACTGCGTTTCTGTGTCGTGTCAAATGTGCAGTCATAGCTCTATGCTCTTTTAGCTTTTGGCTTTTGTACTTATTCCAAAGCCAACTATTATCTCGGTTCTCCTATTCGGTTGCATCAGTTTGCCAGCTGACGGTGCCCTCATTGCTTTGCTTTTCTCTTTTATTCGTATTTTTTGTTTGCCATTCACGCCGTTATTCACATCGCCGTTTGTTGGTTTCATGACACACTTGGCAGCCAGTGCTTGCCATTTGCTTCGTCATTCATGCTACATAGACAATATTTTAATTTGCCCATGCCCTTTTCATATCCGTTCACATACTGCTTTTCTGTGCACTTCTCACTATAACTTCGTTGCCGCTTTTTAACGCATTTTTAGCGGTTTTTTTGCAATCGCACGGCTCTCTGAAATTTTGTTTGCGTTTCCAGTTTTCTTGCTGCAGACGCCCAGTATCCTTGTGATTTAATTTGTTCACTGCGGCGAATGGGGTCACGCGGGCTCAGCCTTTTTGATTATGCTTTATTTTTTAATTAGCACGCAAATTTTTGGCAACTCTAATAAAACACTTACATGCAACAAATTTTTTTTTTTTTCAATATGAAACCTTGGTGGAGAAAAGTTGATATTTCAGTTAAGGTGTAAGTTCCTTTTGTACATATCTACATATTTATGTATATGAGGCAATCTTTTTCATATCGGACACCCAATTTGGTGTCACACTTTCGATTCGCTTCAAATTTTTTTATGAGTTCTATACATGAAATAAGCTATTCGAGGAAATTTTTTTTAATTTTTTTTTTCGGAGATATGATTTGTCAGAGTTTGGATTTTATCGGGATTCTGACTAATCATGTAATTTTTCAAATCGTTATATCTAAGGTTCTGCTCAAGGTAGAGACGTCGTTTTAAAGCTAAAGAAATGAGCTTAACATTTATATATGTAAGATAGTCATGATTGTCCTAAAGCTAACTTATTAGCTATTAACAGTTGAACTGTTTGAAGTTGGTTTCCATATTGAAGACCAGTAAATCAGGGATTTAAAATTTCACCATCGTAATTCTCTATAAAAAAACATAGTTTTATAAAAAACATGGTTTCAAGGACTACTTTTAAAATATTTTTGAAGTGAAACTTCTTTAGCAGCGATTGGTTGGTTGGGAGTAAATTAGCAAATTCTCCGGAAATCGCACACGGAAAAGGTGCATCGGAAATGGTTGGGGCTGAAACAAGTGCTTCTTGAGTGTATGGTATTAATTTAACAAAAACTTGCTAATAAAAGGTTAAAGAATAACACTTAGAAAAAGACCAATACATGAATGAAAGTAAAGGTGAGTACGTACATAGATAAAGAAATGGATAAAGGTAAAGGTAAAAATAAAAACAAAAACAAAGATGCGTAAAGATAAAGGCAAAAATGAAGACCAAGAAAAATTTAAACACTTTACTTATATATATAAGGGCAAAGGTGAGGGGAAATATGTAGATGAAGAAAATGATAAACATAAAAGTAAAAACAAAGATAAATGTAAACAAAAAGATGAGGATAAGGATACCGATAAAAGATAAGATGAAGATAGAGGAAGGAAGATTAAAATAAAGGTAATTATAGAGAAAAGAATAAAGATAGTGACACAAAGACTCATTCTGGGAACTATTTTGGCATTTTAGAGATTTTCGGGATTCTCGGGACTTATCGATAAAATAATCGATATTTTCATCGGTCTTGTTATCGATATTTTATTTATCGATTTTTTATCGAATTTGTTATCGATGTTGTTATAAATTTTGCTATCGATATTTTCGGAACTTTTCGATATAATATTCCATATGTTTATCAATTTTGTTATCGATTGGTTATCGATATTTTTAGCTATTTTGTCAGCGATATTTTTTATCGATTTTGTTATTGATTTTGGTATCTATATTTATCGATTTTGTTATTGATGTTTATCGGTTTTGTTATCGTTATTTATCGATTTTGTTATCGATATCTATCGATTTCGTTATCACTGATTATCGATTTTTTATCGATATTTATCGATTGTGTTATCGATATTTATCGATTTTGTTATAGATATTTTTATCGACTTTGTTATCAATATTTTTATCGATATTATCTATATACTCCATTGATAACAAAATCGATAGTAATATCCAAAAAAAAATATCGATAAAAAAACCGATAAAAATATCGATAACAAAATCGATGAAAAGTTCGATAAAAATTTCGATAGCAAAATTAATAAAATTGGTAGCAAAATCTATTAGAAACTCGATAAAAATATCAGCAAAATGCATATAATAAAAACGATAAAAATATCGATAAATATATCCATAACAAAAATAAAGATAAAGGAAAACAGAATAACATAAATGTAATTGGACCTAGATAGAAAGAAAGCAAAAAATATATCCTTTAGATAAAGCATATATATGTATGTATGTATATTCGTTATGAGACAAAATATATATCGTCGTTTAAAGTACAAAACCGCGTATCAAGATTATGCAAAACCGCATATGTGAGGTTGCATAAATTAGTTTCTAGAGAGTAAAAAAACTCATATTTCAAAATGGTTCTTTTTTTATAAAGCAATCGCATTTTTGGCTAGTATATTTCAGGAAGAATGGATAATGATTGAGCCAAGAGCTTGTGCGATCAAATCCAATTTTTGGCAAAAAATGTTAGTTACGCGGTTTTGCATAATGACGATACGCGGTTTTTTACGTTAAACGACGAAATGTATGTAACGCAAGTTCCACTTCTCCAGTATGGCCCAGGCGCACTTACTTTTTTTGATGATAAGATGGGTTATTTTGTGAGAGTCAACAATTTGTTATAATTTATTTTCGAAAACTCATGACAAGATGTTTTAAGCAAGGTGTTTAAAATCGGGTTTTTGCAAAAATTTAAATTTTATTGCGGATTCCGATATAATGTAGGGCAGGATTTTTCTTTAAGGCGACAAACCCCTAGAAATGGGCGTGGCAAATGTGTGACTAAAGTTAGAAAAACGAAGATCTTCGTTAACAACTCATCCTGTGTGAACGTACCCTAACTGCCATACCTAAACAAATGCGTTGGGTGCCGCGTTTTCTGACACCTAGCGTGAGTTCTGAAGTGCCATACCTGAACAAAAGCGGCAACTCTACGTCAGAAATTACAGTTTCGCCGTTTTCTGCAGCCAATTTCATTTCCTAACGCCCTGTCAAAATCGGATTTTCCAACCGCTCAGCGTTGACGCCGCGTTATTTCGAAGTACTCACGAAGTACTGCACTTAAATTTACGTGGCTTCCTTCAAAAGCAATTCTGCACACCCTTTTAAGCCTTAGAGGCAAAACGCTCCACGCCACGCTACCATTCAATCTAAAACCAAATTGGTTTTATACGTTTTATAAATGACTTTTATTTACGTGCGTACTAGTCGGGAGTTATATGTATATTGAACAGAGTTTTCTATTTTACACTTAACCTAGGCTGTTGTGGAATGTAGCTTCCATCGATACAAAACTGTCAACCATGTATTAGTGATGTCACGGCGAATTCATGTGCATACCTATCAGAGGTGCCATTACAGTATGCTTGATACAAATTGTATGGTCATGAGAATTTTTTGACAGCCAGACAACGGCGACGTTTTTGTTTAGGTATAGCAGTCAAGCATTTAAAGTCTTCTTTAATTTTGGTAAATTTGCGAAATTAGAAAATTGTTATATAGGGCCTCACGCATTGGTGTGAAAACAGGAAGGAAAAACTAAACAGTGTGCACATTGTGACCGGCTTTGCTTCACAGAATATCCTCATAGATTTTTTGAGTTGTAAATTTCTTGTCTTAGGTCCTTTATTATTTGTGCCCTTTTTATGAATGATATTTCGTCTAATTTCTGGTATAAATTAACATTTAGTAAATTTCATTATCGTACGTCGTATTGTATCTGCAATACCCCACAGAAATTCCAAACCTTTTACCGTGTGAGCCCTTCAGGCAGTGTCCGGTGATTACACCGACTACTAATCTGAGAGAGGAACGGTCCAGCCGAGTAAGAGCTATGGATCGCTTTACATAAATGTTTGGCCAAGTTTGCCTGGTAATATGGCAGGTGGTTTCCACAGCCCACCTGGTGTTTGTTGAGTAGTTGTGTAACTTTTCATTGAAATTATCTCAAATAGAATTACTGATTAAAAATGTATGAAAATTGCACAATGTGACATGATTATTTCTCATTAAAACACGTTCTAACAAAAAATAGGGCTACATGCAGTCAAACTTCTTCTGAAAATCAATCTCTGGTACTTACTGCTTGTTTAGTGAGTACATACATATACAATGTGTACACACATATATGTACACACAAACATCTGCAGAGATTAAAATAACTCGCAGCAATAATATTGCATAAAAGTCCGAACAAAAGCAAAAGAAGAAAAGCAGGTAATAAAGTGATGATCCCCACAATCACTAACAAACCTGAGTAAAAACCAACAATAGGAAAAAAGTGAATGAAGGCAGAAAAAGTATGCAATGAAATCCGTCAAAAAAAAAAACGAAAGTAAGTAGTTAGGTGAAAAGAAAAGTCAATCTAACTAGGTTTCAAACGGGTTAAGGCTAAACGCAAAGGTTAAGGACGTGCGCTGTCCTCGGCAAGCGTTAAACACCCCCACTCCATACAAATCTGGCTCGCACAGCCTAAGCTGGCCCAAAATAAATATGTATGTATACTTAGCTGCTGCTCGAGTTTTCTAGCACGTCCGTTGAGAAGCATACGCACCTTTGTAAGTATGTACCGTAACTAGTATGTATATTTGTATATTTGTATACTTGTATGCCCTTATCTATGAGCTAGTATATACAAACGGTGCAGTATTGTATAAAGATGGCGCCATAGAGTGTTGCCATAGCTACTCTTCGCGCTTTTCCCCTCTTTTGTTTGTTTGTTGTTGCTGCTACTTACATTCATACAGCTGTGCAGCCTTTGTGTACGCCGGAACCAGCCGCGAGCCACTCGAGTGAAAATTCGTGCGCTGCAGTCGTGGTTTAGAGGCGCGGAACGGATGAGGACGATTAGATCCTTTTGAGTATCTGCGCGATGTGGCGCAGTGAATTTTTAATAAGTAGGGGCCTATATTCGAAAGTTTTGCAACTTTTTATTTGTATGCTTTACTTTTTGCTTTCATTTCTTCACCTCCTATCCTTTTATATTTTGGAGAAAGAAGTAATTACAATTTCCGTAGTCGCACATAGCTGATGGGTATAGTATACATAAATATAGCGGCATACTAAATCAATTTGTATGCAATTGTAGAGTGTGGAAAATTAAAAACTGTTATAAAGCTTTCATAAAACATCACCCGATAAAACAATTAGGGAGTTCACAGGGTGCGTATACATTAAACAGCTGAAACTATATTTAAGGGATTCGCAAGCTGCCATAAATGTCACATTATAAAATTTCACACCGTTAAAAACTAGTTGGTTGTGGTTTAAAGTCCTCTGAACATTTATTTAGCCGTTAAAGAATTTTCGACATACCACAATACGGCACTTACGTACACCTTGTGAACCACCTAAATATTTGTCGATTTGGTAGAAAATATCATAAAATATATACGTACATAAGGAACCTCAATCATACATTTATTTACATATGTATGTTTGTAGTATGTACATTAGACTGCATCACCAAAAAAGGTTGCAGTTTTTCCGCCGGAATTATAAGACTTATGCCGATTTCATTTCTACCGAAAAATGCAACATTCTCTTTGCTCTCTACGCACAAACACTAAGAAGAGGGCGATGAGAAGGCAACATTTTTTGTAGAAACGAAATCGCTATTATTATAGTTGAAGACTTCCACCAAAAAATTTCGGAAAAAAAACTAACATTTACTTGAGCTGGACCTATTTTAAAATACCTCCAAAAATTAAGTTTGTTTATTAATAAAAATGGTGCCATTAAGGATTTTTGAAAATAAGTCGCCTCAGATGACAAACAGTTTAAGCTTAAAAATCTGCATAAAAATTAAAAAAAAAAACTGTCAATGGAATCATATATAATAATGAGGTTTTTGATTCTGTTTTGTAACTTTTTTCAAAGATCGGCTTAAGAAAAGATTGAATCACTGGTCCAAAAATATACCGATTTAGACTTATGGGGTATCACTGGTAAGGTATTTTCTGCCCTTTTTATTCCTTTGTAAATAACTCATTCACGTCGCTTTTTTTCAAATATCAACACACCTTAACTTAAATTGGAGTGATGCTCGTTTATCTTACCCTCTCCTTTCATACTTTGTATGAGTTTGTTTGCAATTTAATAAAAGTCTCTTTCCAATAAAACCTCATAAGTCTAAATGGGTAAAGGTTTTGAACAATTTTTAATACTGACATGCCTCTTAGTTGGGTTGCTTATATTTCAAGAATTCAATTCAATTAATATGATTTAAAGAAATGAAAATACGAATTTAATTGAAAAACTTTAAGTGGTGGGTTTTATGTTAAAGTATTTTAAAAATTAGTTTAAATTAACTAAAACTGATAAATGTATTTTAAAAATTTTTTGAGAATTTAGGCCAGAGACCGGAAATAATTACTATCCTAATATTTAGGATCAAAAACTTCGCCTTGTTTTAAGAGAATTTTTTTTCGTCTTTGTATAATAATTATTTATGAGAAATATCTTTTTTAGTTTCGCGGGACGATTATTTCAAGACGAAAATTATTTACGTCTTCTCATAATAATTATATGGGCTTTTTCTTTTTTGTCGTTTCTGTGGACGTTTATTCCAAGACGAATATGATTTACGTCCCACGTTTTTCTTAATAGAATGGGTACACTTACAGCCGATTTGAATTTAAGTTCTAATATGTGGCAACCCTTTTCTGAAAAATAAAACAGTATTGCATTGCTACATACCAATCTCTTCAATTCTCGGTGCAGATCTGGTGACGGTGGGTTAAATATTTTACGTAAACATCTCCGAACTCGCTTATTTGCATTTGAGTTCCTAACATCTGGCAACCCTTTTCAAAGAACCAAAACCGCGTAAAAGCAAATCCCTTTAATATGTATATTTATAAATAAATATATTTAACGCTTTAAGGGCCGTTAAAATATCTGTGTTAAGCTATAGTTTATTCATTTATTTCATTCATTAGTTAAACTTAACTACAGAAAATTCCATAGAATTACTTGAAAATAGATAAGTAAACGGCCCTAAGCCTCCGAACTCGATAAAGAAATTTTAATTCAATAAAAGTCCCATATGATTATTATGAGAAGACGTAAATCATATTCGTCTTAAAATAAACGTCCCGAGAGACGAAAAAATAAAATGCCTGTATAATTATTATGAGAAGACGTAAATCATATTCTTCTTAAAATAAACGTCCCGAGAGCCGAAAAAAATAAAAACCCCATATAATTATTATGAGAAGACGTAAATAATATTCGTCTTGAAATAATCGTCCCGCGAGACGAAAACAACTTTTCCATTGCTCAATAATAATTATGCAGCAATATTTAATTTTATTTCTTATAATCGTCATGGTCTCTGATTTAGGCAGATTTAGGGCCCATTACGACGAAGTTACAGGAACAAATTAAAAAATAAATAAAAATGTGAAAAAATATTTTTTAAAAACAAGCTTTTATTTAACATGTATAATCAAAGGAATAAAATAAAGCAGTGTAACAAAAGATTTTTTAGCAAGAAAATTTGGTCAAAACTGCACTAAAGTGAATAAAATAAAATAAGTTAAGGTCTCGTTAAAGTTACTAAAAGCCATTTAGTGAAAGGAGTTATTCAAACTCTAATGAAAATTAATAACAATTTGTACTAATTTACTTCGTTGTTAAAAAAGCTTGTCGGCGAATTCAGCGTACACGCATAATTGGTTAGGTATGTATGTATGCAGATATTTAAATGCCGGTTTGCTATTCGCGCGACAAGCGTTTTTAAAAACGAAGTAAATAAGTACAAATTGTTAGTAATTTTCATTAGAGTTTGAATAACTCCTTTCACTAAATGGCTTTTAGTAACTTTAACGAGACCTTAACTTATTTTATTTTATTCATTTTAGTGCAGTTTTGACAAAATTTTCTTGCTAAAAAATCTTTTGTTACACTACTTCATTTTATTCCTTTGATTGTACAGGTTAAATAAAAGTTTGTGTTTAAAAAATATTTGTTTACATCATTTTTTTTTTTTTAATTCTTAGTCCATTTATAAAAGCGTTTTATATTAAAAAAAGTGTTATTTTATTTTATGTACAACATTTTGCAATAGTTATTAAAATAATTCAACTTGCTATGAAAGAGAACAGAAGACTATGCAAGCAAAATGTTGTTTGCTTACGTTTTGTATAAACATACATATTTATGTACATATCGCAGCAGTTAATTTTATTTAAAGAAATGGCGTGTCGTCCATTTCCACTGTAGAATGGCATATATTTAGGCGCAATATTTAACTTCTTCTGGCGGGGCGACATCTGGAGTCTTCTAATTGTATCGCCTTGATATGATGCCTAGAACGAGGTTCATATCTAGACTAGGCTGATATCTAGAATTTGCCACAAATAGCTTTGCTGCACTACCACCGCGGCGCGCCGGCAGCATTAACAATTTTATAGTGGTTTTACGTTCTTTGGCAAATTACGCTCTGTTAGCCATAAATCTTACTGTTTTTTGTCCGCCTTTGAATCAGGACCCATGAACCATATGTGGAATTCATTTATATTTTAAATTGCATTGTCATCGTGATTGGAACTATGCTGAAAAGTTCAAGTCTCTAACTTGTCAGGAAGTCAGTTTAATATCGATTGGAAATTTCCGCGATTTGCGCGGGATGACCAAGTTAAATAAAAGCTTATAAAACCTCCACTCCTGTATTAAATTATTTTTTTACTTTTTACTATTTTTTATTTATATTTTTTAATAATTTTACTAGAGCAAGAAAAATCTCAACGACGTTGAAAAAACAAAAATGCTTTCATTCATTCCAGTGTAATCTTAGTCATCGGTTTTCCTCATATTTTATTGCCGGTACACAATACATGTATTTTAACAAGGAACAACCGAAACCAATTCATTTTAAAATACTATACCTATTTACATATAAAACAGGGACTTAAACTAATTGTCATTATTTATTTCTTAACCAAAAAAAATCAACAAGTTTTAATTGTCGTAAAACATTTATAAACTATACTCACGTATTTGTATTCGTACGTCCTACTGTAGTGTACGATAATTTTTATATTTCGAGTTTAACCAATAAAGAATTAAAATAATAGTGCATATTTGAGTTTTATTTTTTCCCCCTCAAACAAAATAATCATTATTTTTAAGTGGAAAAATAAAACTAAATAATAATTTTTATATCTGAACGAAATAATAAAAATCAAATAATTATTATTTCCTTTGAGCGAAAAAAAAATAAAACTCAATAATAATTATTATTTTTAATTAAAAAAAAATTAAAAAATTAAATTATTATTAAATGGTGATTTAAATTGTTTTACTCATAATGTCCCTGGTATAAAATGTGTTTATAATCACATAATCTTGTGTAAATAGAAACATTGACAGTTTAATACAGTGATTCAACTGAATATTTGGAAAAAATTATAGGTCATTTTCTGTCAAGAATTGTCGCACTAAATTTAAAGCATTTTAAATCAAACAAACCAAAAATATGCAATAACAACATGCTTTTATTTTAAAATATACTAAAATATGCGCAATGATTAAGCGGAAACAGGAATTTTTTTGCAAAATATGCAAAACCACGCATTTATTGCTAAAATGATGATTTAACAATTGAATACCAGTTTAAAGGAATTTTCATACTTTGTGAAGACTAACTTAACTTAATAATTTCCATTTGAGGACGCCCAATAAAAATATGCATTTGCATGAGATTCCTGGCCCCATTTAAATAAGTATTTGTATGAAATGTGCCCAAAAACGAAGGGGTACTCATACGCCATGTACAACAAATTTTCATAGGCGCACACGCATTTTCTTCAAAATTTAACAATTAAGCCGTTCTTTTTTGAAAGTAGAATAAGTCTCTTTGTTTTTAAATCGATATAGTTTTAGTGAGTTTTAGCACGTTTAAAAATATTGGTGCCAACTTTCGAAAAGATTTACTTGTATTTGTTATTTCAGGATAATTATATTTGTTTCAGTATAAATAATTTCGTACAGTCATGGAAAAATCACCACCTTTTATTACGGTAAAGAGACGTATGCCACTTTCAAAATAGATAGTTTTGGAAAATTACTGACTTATAACAATTTAGTCCAATATATTTTACTGAAGTGGTGTTTAGAAAGGACAGTGACTTACTAAAATTGATAAATAAATTACATATTTATGTATTTATATACTTATATATTTATATAATAATCTTATAGTCTAATTATTTTGAACGAGCAATTCTTGTATTAGCCTGAAAATATACACGTATATGAATAGGACGTCTCACATTAGCCGGCCCAGAGCTCTGTCCGAAATTCTAAGCAACAAAAGTAAATATATATATTAAGTCAAAATATTCGTGAACTAATATTCTTTCGATTGGAAAGTGGCAGAATCTAAAATTCAAAATGGCGTCATTACTATGGCGGACGTATTTTTAAACCTTCCTTGTATTCGCTTCAAACTTGTTACTCGAGGGGCTTTGGGATCGCTGGTCACTAACCTGAAGACCGATTTGAGAAGTTCAAAATGGCGGAGCCAATATGATGGCAAAAAAATTAGAATCACTTAGAACTTTACAGTCGGGGGTTCTTAAGGCTGCTGATGATGAGTCTAGAATCAGACTTAAAAAATTCCAAATTACGCTTCCGTATTGGATCTACCATTTATCACGGGAAAGTTAAAATCGAGCGCACTTACATGGCGTATGAGTTACATTCTCATTACGACTAAAAATATGGGCACCAAATAAAAGATAAAATTCTT